CCACCAGCCACTCCTCGGAAGGAAGGTTGGGCAATCCTACTTCCATAGTGATACTGCCTCGGAAACCCAAGGAGGGGTCGCTATGAGTCAGGGCTGACTTGACGGCACATAACAACAACAACAACGATGAAAGGTAAAGCAGTAAGAATAGCTCACTCTAGTCTTGTACAACACTTTACAATAATTCCTAAACAAGTTGACATTAAATTATTAGGATAATTGGCCTCAAGAGAATTAAAGATTAACATGTAAAGAAAAGGAAAAAAGATGTAACTCAAAGATAAATGAAAACATAAGTCTTCACAAAAATTTGTACTTGAATATTCACAGCAGGGTTAATTATAATAGTGAAAAATGGAAACAACCCAAATGTCCATCAACTGAGGAATGGATAAACAATATATCCATTGTATATTCATAAAATGGAATATTATTTAATAATAAAAAATGAAGTATATTATTACTACAACATGGAAAAATCTTTAAAATATTAAGCAAAATAAGCCATACACAAAAAGCCACATATTGCATTATTCCATTTATAAGAAAAATCCAGATTAGGGAAATCTATAGAGGGAAAAAGTAGATTAGAAATTTCAAGGGGCTGGTTGGAAGAGGCAATGGAGAGTTATTGGGGATGGGTATAGAGTTTCTTTTTGGAAATGAAAATATTCTAAAATTAGATCTTGTGAAGAATGCAAACTGTGAATGTATTAAAAACCACTGAACTGTACAGCTTAAAAGTGTAAATTTTATGGTTTGTGAATGATTTTTCAATGAAGCTATTATTTTAAAAATGTAATGAAATATAATGACAGAGCTTGTGGGTAGTTATGAAGTAAGTCCTAATTTTCCATTAAAATACATATGTAAAAAAGGAGCAACAGAAAATTTTTTAAAAATACAACAAAATCTGGACTTGTTATTCAATCTAGCGAAGATTCTGGGGGGATTTTCCATTAATTCCAATGCCAATGCCACAGAATTGAAATTCACACAGTTGGTGGCCTCAATATTCCGTTAGACTATCTGCCTTGGCTCAGAAGGTGGTGTGCAAAAATTATTATTGTATGGTTTGTGCTTTCTGAGATCAAAGGTATAGTCTTCAACCAGGGTGAATAAATTATTGCAGGGGATGGGGAAGAAGGATAGTGACTTTAAGTGAGATACTGCATTCTGTTGTTATTTGCCATCGAGTCAGCCCTGACTCCTAGCGACCCCCCCTTGGTTTTCCGAGGCAGTTATCACTACGGAAGTAGGATTGCCCAACCTTCCATAGCATAGTGGCTAAGACACTTGCCTGCTAACCAGACGGCTGGCGGTTCAA